GGACCGCCAAAGCGTACAAAGCCCCCCAGAGGGCACAGAGAACCCCAAGAGACGCGGGGACCGCCTTCCCCCGAGGCGCTGCTCGGCCCGCTGCCACCCCCGAGCCCTCAGCGCTCACCTGCGGGGTCGCCATCGCCGCCATTGCTCCGCCCGGACCGGCACTTTTCAAACTCGGTGGTCCCGGGGCCGCCGCCAGCGCCCTCTCGCGGGGGCGGCGCGGGGCAGCGGCGGCGGGACGAGGAGCGGGAGCCGCCCTTCCCCGCACGGCCGCCGCTCCGGGCCCCGCCTGAGGAGGCGCCGCCGCTCCGCCCGCCCCGGGGGGAAGCGCGCGGCCCGGTGCCGTGAGGCGGCGGGAGGGAGCGAGGACGCCGCGTCCGCGGAGGTGCCGGACATCGCCCGCCGGGGCGGTCAGTCCCCGCGGTGGCTGCGGTCCGTGCCGGAGGGAGGGGACGGGAGGCACAGTGGCGGGTGCCCGCTCCGTCCCTCTGGAAGCGCTGAGCAGAAAGACCCGCGGGTGGCCCCAGCCGGGCCCTTGGTGCTGGGGCCATCGGGTGGTTCCCAGTTCAGTTCTCCACACGGGCTCCTTCGGAGGGGAACCGGCCAAGTGCAGCTCTCCTTGCGACGGGATCCCTGCACCCCATCCCTGGAACGGGGCGATGCTGGGCTCTGGGGAAGTTTCCCCCTGCAGAATGGCCCCTTCACACGCAGTTTCTGCTGAATATTTGAGTGAAAAAACGTCCCACACGCATTGGCGAGGCTGGCAGCAATCCCCTAGCTAGCGTAGTGAAAAAACCTGCGCTGCACTAGTGCCGCAGCATCACACAGAACCGACAGAGTGTCACAGGCCCAGTGCTTTAAACAAAATAAAAATATACTTGTTGCTTTCAGGTGCTTAAAGACGCTCCTCAGCACTATTACATGTTACTGTCCTACTAATATGCTTTTCAATCACTGAGCAGTGCACAGCTGTGAATTGAAAGGCATTTGGAGGTGACAGTATTCCCACATACAAATTTAGAAATATACTAACAAACAGAAGTGTGTTCCTTTTCCTTAATTAGAAAAGTTTTTCTAACCTGAATTTTTTTTAGGATAGAAAATGCAGTAAGCAATTTGCAACTGAGTAACTAATAAAAGGAACTCATTATAAAATTAAATATGTGAACCTAGCTTAACTGACTTGAATTAATAAAGCTTTAAACTAATACAAAGCCTTTGAATATGCCCCTGTTGTTAATAAAGCAAGTGCATTTGATTAATATAAACCCTTCAGAAACCTGATGCTATTTAGAACATGGTCCAGGCTCTGTTTAGTGTTTAAGTAATTATATTAATTGACTGTTCATTCAGTGGAAATACTGAAAAGGGGAAAATCAAGCTAGCAAGCGTAGACTGAGTTCCAGAGGAGCAGGAATGCTTCCACACCTCCAGCAGATCAAGGCTGTGTTTGGCTCTCACTGGGGATCTGCTTGGGGTGCTCTGGGCTGGGACGGTGCCTCCAGGGCTGCTGTGCCCTCCACGCACTTGGGGTTCCTGCAGCAGCCTCCCCCTCTTTCCTTCAGACCTCAGACCCTCCAGGGGAAGCTGAGGAAGGGCAGGGGGTGGTTCAGGGATGCTGGGGAGCTGGAGTCCCCCAGCTTGGAGGGAAAGGGCTGGCTCTCAGCTCCCGGGTGATCCCAGAGGCCGTGGCCCTGGCTACCCAGCATCCCAGCCCCATTCCCCGGGCATGGTTCAGCTGTGTCCCGCAAATCCTGAGGAGAGTGGGCCGGTAGGTGGGATCAGCAGTTCCTGCCCATTCGGGAAGGTAAGTGTCACAACGGGGAGTACGACATGCCCCTCCAGCCCTTCCAGGACCCCGCAGGGCACCATCCCCTGGTGCCGGGGATGATCCCGGCGCAGATCCTGCCCAGGAGCCGGCAGGGGCAGTGGCACCGTCCCGGGAGCTGTGCGGACTCCTTGGGGGTTCCCGGAGCAGGGCGGGGGCTAAAGGTGTGTCCCGACCTTCAACCGGCAGCCCGTCTTCCATGATACCCGAGAGAGCACGCGGAAAAGGTGATGATCAAGAAAAAGTCTTAATATCTCAAATTTTAATCCAGGAGAGGGAGGGAGGAAGGAGATTAAGCATAAATCTGTTTCCCAAGTATCGTGTACCAGTCACTTACTACCTCCCCTCACTCTTCTCCATAAAGGAAAAGCAAGCACTGTCCACATCATCTGTGAAAGACTGGGACTAAAAAACTGATTCTCTTGAAAAAGACTCTTAGAAATGGTAGCATCAAGTAACAGTTAAATGTATTTTAATTCCTTCAAACAGAAGGATAGCTTGAAGGTACAGCAGAGAAATTATTTCATTGATTTCATTCTCTTTAAAAAACAAAAAACCAAACCAAAAAAACAACATGGCTTCAAAATTCAGGAACAGTATCCAATAAACAAAGAACTATCCTTATGCACCTGGTTTAGTGTGGTACAAAGAGCTTACAGATTCAAGTGAATATCATAAATGACTGAGAAATCGATCCAGATAATGCTTGTTTACAGGGACAGAAATTATGTTGACAAGTATGAATAAGTACATAGATAATCTCTTTAGAAACCCCAAACCTTCCTGACTGTATTTACACACTCAGCCATATTTGTTTCCTTTGGCACGAGAAATTACAGACAAAAGATTCCATTTTATAGCAATTAAACTTTAAACTTAAAAATAACCTTTGAGATAGGCCATACAGCCCTAGCACAGCAGCTTCACCTTTATTAAATTGCTGCCAACTTTATGTTATCCTGGAAATTCAAGCCAAAAAACCTGAAGTCATTTACCACTTGTGATAGATTTCACATGGTGGGATTAACTGCACGTGAGGAGCTCAAGCAGTGGGGAATTAATGATATTTAATAAGAATTAATTTCCCATTATTATCCAAGGTAGATGTCTTTTTAAAAGCTCTTTATACATATATAAAATAAATCCAGCAAAAAATGGACACCCATTACATATATTCAGCCAAATTAGACATTAAGTGAACAGTCAGAGCACATGATGGCCAGCTGTAGTATTTCTTGAGCATTGCAGAGAAATGTGTTAATACCTAATCATATCCATGCTAGGAAAAAAAATTAAAATAACACTTAACTAATATGGTTTATTCTTTTACCATGTCAGTTTACTCTTTAGCCATTGCCAGGAGTAAACCCTCAAGTTTCACAGCAAATTCAGTATTATCAGTACAGTAGCAAGAGTATTTTGGCACCCTGTAAAATCCTTAAGAAAGCGCAAGAAAAATCTCTTAAGTAGCATTTAATTATCCAGACTTCTAATTTCTTGTTCCTGGTATTTGACTTTACAGAGCCTGAAGCTTTGATTACTTTCAAAACAGTTTTTATAAGTTTTCTGCTAGTAACCAACAGGGATGGAACAACAATGGCACAATTATTTTTCCTAAAGCATTCAAGACTACCAGAAGATTATTTTCCTTGAGGAACTACAATTAGGACTACATAAAATTAAGTAATGAGGCATCATGGCAAGAAACAGCACATCGACCCTCTACCACAACAGGAAGCTATTTTCAATCTTACAACAAAAAGGAATCAAATTAAAAACCACTAAAATTTATAGGGCTTCATGGGTTTTGTTCCTTCTCTCTCTAGATGGTAAGAAACCATTACTTATCAACGTTGTACTTGGCTCTGCAAAGGAGGATGAGGGCAGAAGCTTTTGTTGAGATGGAATAAAGTACATGGTTGTCTTATTTTTGCATTGATCACATGAGACTGGACGTTGCATTGTCTCTGATAACTGGATTGAATCCAAGCTGGACCACACACTTACAGAATGTTTTCCCTCACACATGTTATTTGTGCACGTCTCAACCAGACATTGATCTTGTTCTGCCAAGTGTATTCTTAAGCATCAAAAAAAGCTGAATTTGACTACAGCAAATTCTGTGAGGAAAAGGAATCAGAGAATATAACAAGTCTTCCCAGAAGACAGTCTTTTCTACACATCCAAAGAGCTATTTGAATTTCAGATGAGCTGATAGAACATTTTTTCTTAAATATTTCAAAAGCAAAGCATGTTAAAACAACTTCCATTACATTTTGTGGAATACCAGTTCCAACACCTTATGTGAAATTGTTACAAGTTTCTCAAATGCAGTCTCTTAAAATGAGAGTACAGTGTATCTAAAGCACATATACATGCTGCTACCAAGGAAAAAATACAGTGAAGTAGCAACTTTTTATACATGAACTTTACTAAGAATCTTGCTCTTTGAAATAGCCCCCAAATTAGCTTTCAATTAAGATTTGTTTTCAACTGAAAAGACTTACAAAACCACCCTAATATTTTAAAACCACCCCCTTAGTCTTTTTGTTCTGAGCTTGCAAGGTATTTTCATGCAAACTGATGTACTGGAGATACAGTACTGCAAATTACTAAAAGTTCTACAAATCAAGTGACTTTCCTTTTTGCAAAACTATGTACCTGTGTCTTCACACACAGCACATGACCCTACAGGGAACTCAAGAGTCAGTGTGCAGTAGGAACTACCACAGGAAACACTTTACAGGTACTGAAATAGTGGGAACTACATGAACTGGTTCAGTCCACACAACTATAAAGCTGCACTGCACTACAGAAATACTGACAAAATGCTCCCAAAAATGCCAAGAAACTACAGCAAGTTCTAAATAGGATATAAAAGCTGTTTCTTTCAGTGAAGACCAACCAGTCCCTTTGTGTACACATTTAGTTTTATTGTAACAAAGCAACTTGTACACTTTAACGTTTAAAACTGAGCATCTTTCTTTCCTTTCCAGTGAAACAAAAAAAAAAAACAAAA